TGAAACTGTAAGTGAGCCACCCCAGTTAAATGTTTTCCTTTACAAGAGTTGCCATGGTCATGGTGTCTCTTCACAGCAATAGAAACCCTAACTAAAAAAAGAAAGAAAGAAAGAAAGAAAGAAAGAAAGAAAGAAAGAAAGAAAGAAAGAAAGAAAGAAAGAAAGAAAGAAAGAAAGAAAGAAAGAAAGAAAAAGAAAGAGAAAAAGAAAGAGAAAGAAGAAAGAAAATGATCAAAATATATTGTATTTAAAACATCTAATAAAAATTGAAAAGTAAATAAAATTTTAAATAATTAAGTAAAATAATGACTCTTGGATAGCACTTCCCGCTCTTCCTCAGGCTATCTATCTATCTATCTATCTACACCTCATCTCTTTCCCTCTTCCTCCTTTCCACGCTTATTTAAATGAAAAGCATTAGGTGCCATAACATCCACTGAGTGCTGTCAAAATGCTCTCACTTTGCCCTTCAAAGAAGGAACATTCTCCGAGAACATGGAGAAGCTGGCGCTGAAGGCAGGTGAGTGGCTTGCCCTGGGTTGCTGCAGCGGCACCTCGTAGATCAGGACCTCGACGGAGCCTTTTGGTTCAACCCAGTGCAGAAGCAACTGAGCTGAGGGAGAGAGTTGACAGGGCTGCAGCTGCCGGTCCTGCCCACCACACCACTTCTACCCAGGAGCTTCTCTCTCATCACTCTGAGATCCTTTCTGCTACCCTGGTCCCTTTTCACTCTTCTGTTTATACATCATTAAGATGGCATTGAAAAAAAAAAAATAGCGTTGCACAATGGAAACTGTGCTGGCTTTGGAGCCTGAAAGACTGGGTTTTACTCCATACAGTTTCTCTCTTGCAACTTTTGCGCCTCCAATATCCTCACGTACAAAGAGAAGGCACCCCACCCGCATACTCACGGCATTTTCTGAGACTCGGATTAGACAGTGCTGATGAGCACATTGCACACGGATGGCCACATGGCGTGTGCAGCTTAAGGAAGAAAGGGGTTTATTTTGACTGGTGGTTTGAGTGTACCGTCTGTCACGGTGGTGGTGGTTGGAAGGGGAGCATGGCGGCAGGAAGGTGACGTCAATCACATGAGCCTGCAATCAGGAAGCCAGGGAGAGGAGTGTGGGTGCACAGCTCTTTCTTCTGTTGCTTCAGTCTGGGACCTCACCCCCTGGGATGTTGCTGTTTACATTCAAGGCTGGTCTTCCCACTTCAGACGCCTCTGCCAAACAGTCCCACAGACACTGCCAGCAGTGTGTCTCCTAGGTGATTCCAAATCCTATCAAGTGAGCAATGCAGGCTACCATCACTCCCAATGAGCAGACCCTCCTGAGCTGTTTCCTCCCTTCTGATATCATAGTGCTCCCTTTGTTGAGCAACCAAAATAGAAACCACAATTCTTACTAATTTTGTGTGTCTTACATTGCCATGGTTTTTGACTGCAGTGCTACAACATGCAAATTATTAAATGGGCTGCTGAGAGTTAAATGGGGGAAATGTATGGGCTATATAAGATAGATTGGGGATCTGCCTGATTTCACCCATTCCATCTCAGGCTTTTCCATTGACCATGTGGATAAACACAGAAGTTCTAAGCCCCTGGCCCCTCCTCTGTCAAAGGAATAACAGTACCCACCTGTGGAGGTGTGATGAGGAACAACTGAGATTATCACATCATCACATTGGCAGGCTCTCAGCATACAATAAATGCTTAACATGTATAATTCGTCATTACTGTTCTGTTTGTTTGAGTCAGAGTCTTGCTATATTTCTCAGCCTTAGCTACCAGCCACAGAATCCTAAAAATGACCAGTGTGGATGGCATATGGTGCCTGATGTACTAACCTAAGTAGTACAATGGCCAATGCATGTGTGGTGTTCACAGAGCCAGGAGTTATTGTAAGTGCCTATACATGCAAATATTGTACCATATCACCACTTCAGGAGATAAATGCAGAATTCCATGACTTACAGATGAGGAAGACTGAACATAGAAAGGTTAAACTATTTCTCAAGACTGCAGAGCTATTACTGAAATCAAGATCTAAACCTAGGCAGTCTGGCTCCCAGGTCTGCCTTCTGTGTGGCACAGCCTAGCAAAAAAAAGGGGGGGGGGGTTGGGGGGGAACCATTAAGTTTGATAGTGTGTTTAATTTAAATTCCAGCAATTGAACATCAGAGTACAACTGGTGTGTAAAACCAGGATCGTTCATAGTTTCTCTTCTCCATTTTTAATTTAATTTCTACATTTATATGATCAGTTTAGTGTCAAATAAGCTCAGACCCCATCTGCAGTTGGGCCATGGAGAGGAGCCAGAGCAAAGAGCTGCTTCCTAAAGGTAGTGAGATAAGCAGGGTCCCAAAGTGGCCCTACACCTCTGGCTTCCAGCTGGTAGAGGGCATGGTCAACATGACCACGTTACAGAGTGAGAGACTCTCCTACCTGAATTGAGGAAGTAAACCGGTATGTTGTTGTTGGGGGGTCTGAGGCTTGGGACACTTAAAGATACGGAAGGTAGCCCCTAGGTGACAGCCAATAATGATGAAACAGCCTGGCAACTGAAAGGAACAGAAGCCAGCTAACTCCTGTGAACTTGGCAGAACATCCCAAACTCCAGAAAGGGACAGGCCACCTGCGCTCTCACAGCAGCCTTAAGAGACCCTGGGGGCAGGATCCAACTGAGTCGTGTGCAGACAGGCTCCTGACCCACGCTGTTGACTCAACAGATGTGTGTGCTGTTCGAAGCCACTTGGTCTGTGATACTTTTGCATCCAGCAAGAGAAAAAACAAATATGTCCTTCTTGTCGTTGGTAGATAAACTGGACCTGACAAGACTGGATAAGACCAGAGTCAGAGTCATGGTCTTAGTTACAGTCGGTTTCTATTGTTGTCAAGAGACACCATGATCATGGCAACTTTTATAAAGGGGTGGGAGACCAGCCCCTACACTTATTCACCCCAAGAACTCTTGAGGAAGGAGGGATAAGAGACTTAGTGAGAAATGGAGGGGAGAGGAACAGAGAAAAAACACAGGATAGACTTGGGTGGGCCTGGATCCTTATCCACCAGCTCAGAATGTCATTCCAAAGGTCTATTTATAACAATGCCAAGGGGTGGAGCAAAAGGCTTCCCCCTTGCTAGTTAGACCCTTACAAACACCTGGTACCCGGGCCCATGGTCCAATCAACCTCTTATACAGTCCTGCTGGGTACAGCCACTAGGAAACCTAGTGGACTCCAACATAAAGGAAAACAGTCAATTGGGTGCCTTACAGTTTCAGAGGTTCAGTCCCTTATCATCATGGTGAGACATGGTAGCATGCAGGCAGACATGGTGCTGGAGAAGGAGTTGAGAGTCCTACATCTTGCAGGCAACAGGAAGTCGACTGAGATACTGGGTGATATCCTGAGCATAGGAAACCTCAAAGCACAACCCTACACAGTGACACACTTCCTCCATAAAAGCTGTTCCTACTTCAACGAAGTCACACCTCCCAATAGTGCCACTCCCTATGAGCTTATGGGGGCCACTTTCAAACTACCACAGTGGTTAACGAATCAACTCCATAATACAAAGTAGTATCTCCCAGGATCTCAATTTAAAATCTAAAAGGCAAGGGTTAGAGAAAGGACTCAACAGCTAAAAGCACTTGTTGCTCTTGTGGAGAATCTGAGTTCAGTTCCCAGCACTGATGTGGTCTAGTACATCCATCAAGAACTTCAATTCCAGAATATCCAATGCACCCCTCTGGCCTCCAAAGACACTGAATGCAAGTGGTCCAAAGAATTGTACAGGTAAAAGACCTATACACATAAGATAAAAATACATTTTTTTTGATGCAAAAGACAAAGTAGAAGCATATTTCCTGTCTAGGAACACAACTGCATCAACAAAGAAGTATTTCATCCCTTGGAGCTGATATTAATCTTAAGCAGACATTTTTGGTTCTTTTCTAAGTTGGTTAACTCAAAGAGCAGAGGATACTTCCAAAACGCCTCTCTCTCATTCACTTGGTTCCAGGAAGGGCTCTACCTAAATAAAATTCAACAACAGAATGTCTGTTCTGTACTTAAACTTCTCCTTTGGCGTCATAGTGACTTAAAAACCTACCTCAGAAAATTCTTTCTGTCCATTCAAAGTTCCCCTTCCTAAGTCTGCCTCCCTCTGGCACACTCTGAGATGTGATGGGAAACAGGCAGCCTGCATCAGATGCACAGTAACACTTCATATATTTGAAGGCAGATAAATCCCTCTTAATGCTTATCTTCCCAGGGCCCAAATCCTCTTGATCCCATCCCTGCTCTCCAGTTCCCTGAGGTCTCTTACAAAGGTTTTTTTGCTACCTGTTTCCAGCCTTGGCCAGCGGACTTGCAACTCCAACCACAGGAAGTGACAATACTCTGTTAGCATCATGGTGGCCAGAGGGTGATCAGAGACTCTCATTTACCACACTGTAGCATACATGAGCTCCTAGGATTATATACGAATGAAAAGATCAGCAGCAAGAAACAGGGAGCCACTAAAGACCCAGGAACTGGTGACAATTCTTCTTCGGGAGTCAAGCAGACCCTGGCAGACACAAGCAGACACAATAAGAATTACTCCAGGGAAGAAAATTTTTCATGGGCATTATAGGAGTCCAAGAAAGAGGTGGGCCAGTTCACTTTGACCAGTGGTGATTCTCCAAGCCATCTCTACCAGATCACCGCATGCCTTTCCTAGCACTGACCTAATGAACTGTTCTGAACTGGTGCTCAAGACAAAAGGAATTTATCCTTACAAAGAGCTGAAGGGGACAAGTCTAACGTCAAGCTGTCAGTGGAGACAGGCTCTGTCAAAAGACTGAAGCAATCACACTCCTTCTTCTTCATCTGTGTTGCTGCCAGTAATCATTGGCACACCCGGGTGTATAGACTTCACTCCAGTCACTGCCCCTGTCTCCCCATGGCGTTCCGCCCTGTCTCTGCTTTGGGGTATCTCTTCCTACTTAGTGCTCTAAAGGTGCTGGTCAAACCGGGCTAAGGGGCCCATGCCATGGCAGTGTGACTTCAGCTTGACTTGTCATCTCTGTCCTCTTCCCATATAAATGCCATTTGGGGTTCCTGGGAAGGTCATGAATTTTGGTGCACGGTGATTGAAACATTACATAATTTTGAAGCACTCACTACCCCATCCCCACATGATGATGCTAGACCTGGGGCGGTGGGAGTTGATTGGGTCCTAGAAGGGACTTCAGAGCACTCCTCATCCCTTCTGCCTCCTGAGGGCATATCAAGAACTTGGCCCTTGCTCGACACCAAATCAAGCAACACAGTTGTCGTTGACTTCCCAGCTTCCAACAGTATAAGATAGGAATATCTGATGTGCTGAAGCTCCCAGCCAACGGGGACTTTGTTATACATGCTCAGCAGGCCAGGGTGCATTACAGTGTGAGACCAAAATGAGCCATCTTAGAAATAAGACCAAAATGCTTTCACCCAAAAACTAAGGCCTAAGATTTCTCCTTCTAGGAAGAGGCCAGTAGTTACTGAAACAAGTCAGTCCAGATTCCAGAAACCAGGAAGCGTAAAAGTACAGAGTCACAAGGTAGTCACGGGGGAATGACTGCCGGACTATAGAATGTTCCAACCCTGGTTCCAGGGTAACTGACCATAAAAATGCCCCCACCTGAGGGCAGCCAATGAGAAATGGTGGTAGGCAACCACTCCCTTAGAAGTAATTTCTAGAAGTCCCTAGAAGCGAGCCAATCAGAATTGTACCTGTACTAGCACCCCTAAATGATGTAACCTTGTGATTTTTTCCCTTTAAAAACTGAGCTTGCAGATAGGTGGGCACTTCCTCCAGCCTCCACTGCGTTGGATGTATTGGACGAAGTCCCTGCCCAGGCTTGTATATCCAGAATTAAACCTTGCTTTTGCATTCCAGCATGCTCATCTTTGGTGGTCTCTCTGGGGGGTCACGATCTGGGCACAACAGCAGTATCTAGGAACTAGCTCTAAGTGTGAATGTGCTGGCCTTCCATAGCACCTGTTCAATATGAGGCCCATGCCAACAATCCCAGATGCAGACATGAAAGCTGAAGATGTAGCTT